ATGCTTGGCTTAGCATTCGCGGTACTTAATGTAAGTTGTTTAAGCCACACCCCGGATTAAGTCCTCACTAACGAACCATAGTCTTGGACGGCCCTTTCTGCGAGTTTATCGATCAGTTTGACATCGGGTGGTAGTACCAGTGTGATCTGGGGTGAGTTTCTCAACGTCCGATTGTTGTATACCGCTGACAGTTTATAGGGTTGATAACAGCTGGCACTTGCAACCTGTGCATCGCAGCCTCCCTGGCTGAATTTCTCTCGGCATTCCCAACGTGAGTTTCTTGGCAATTTCGAAAAGCAAAAAGAACAAACGAAGAAATACGACGCGAACGAGGGAGGCTTACTTGTGATTGCATCTGTAGGGCGGGTGGACAATATCATTGGGTAGCTGGTAAGTAGGCCATCCCTTGCATACAATCATCTCACTAATGTCGTCAGTTGGTATGTTGGCTCCACACATCAGGTCCTTTCCGCATGCTAAACAGGACAGTGTCTTGGCCACAATGGGTTCCAATCCTGTCTTGGATTACCGGCTGGGTTAATGTCGCGGGTTGGGTAAGTGGCCCCGGTGGAAATTGCACTCAGGGGCGAAGTTGACTCTATAGGTTGCTTTGGTGGCCACCAACTCCCTTCTTTCAAGCCAGTTGATTGCGGGAATAGTCTCCGCAGTTTACCCGGTAGGTCTGTCTTTTCCATGTTAGCTGTCTCACTCACTTATCGTGAATAGGACTTTGAATGGCAGCGATGGCAACAGTTTCTCATCTACGTGGGTATCACATTGGGCGCGTTCGTGATAAACGCGTTCATGAATTCCGTGCTTCCACTCATCTATCGTGGTGCTTGTATGCATGCCCTGAGACTGTATACGTTCGGTTCTAACCTAGGTAGTTACTTGGTCGATTGGCGGTTTCGTTCTGGTTTCTATCACTGTGCTGGCGTGCGCTTCTCCGGACTATAACTCTGCCTAGTGGGTATTCCCTCGAGACTGAGATTCATTAGCTAATGAGATAGCTTCGTATTCTGTGATTTTGTGAACCAAACTGGCTGTGGGTTTCCGAATTATGAGAGATAGAACGTCGCTAATGATCCATAGGGCCCGATGGCGTGGCGTGGCTACTCGGGGTTTGTCACCCATCCCGACTCGGTAGAGAATGAAACATGCTAAATTACTTTAGCTTCTCCAAGGAGGATTGGGAGTCACCGCATTTGTAGGTTGAATCTGCCCTTCAATATCCATCATATTGCTAATCATTCTAGGATGCCGTGGTACATATGATCGAGGGTACAGCAAATCCAACACTACATCACAAGACAAGAACTAACTAACCCTCATTGGAACACAGAAATCCCGAACCCATCCATCAAAGGACCCAAGGTCATGTTAACCTGTGTTGGAATCGGTACCTTCACCGGCTCCGTCTTTCTCATCGTTCTGCTCTTCGTCGCAGGCGACATCACCGATGTGGTGAGCTCAAAAGCAGGACCTCTGCTGCAGATTCTCCTCCATGCGACTCAGAATACCGCCGGCGCAATATGCCTGCTCATGTATGTTTTTAACTTGGCACCACTCGAACTTTCCAGGGAAGCTAACGTGATAGGCTACCTCTCGTTTGTCTGGTCTTCGCCACGCTCAGCGTGATGACAACGAGTAGTCGGATGATTTTCGCCTTCGCTCGGTGGGTTCCTATACGAAATTCTACGATACGGACAAGCTACTGACTAAACCTTGTCCAGAGACGGCGGCCTCCCCGCATCGCGATTCTTCGCTCACGTTCATCAGAGACTCGGACTACCTTTGAACGCACTGGCATTAACCACACTGGTCGTTATCATCTTCGGTCTGATTTTCCTTGGGTCTTCAAGGTAGGTTCCATATCCATTGGCAATTATGTAATTTGGCTTAAACAAGAACAGCGCCTTCAACGCCATCGTCTCATCATCCGTCGTAGCATTGGATCTATCCTATGCCATGCCAATCGCAGTCAACTGCATCCGTGGACGGAAGACATTACCCGATCGGAAATTCCAGATACCAAATGCGATTGGATGGGTCATTGATATTGTAAGTTTTGATAGCTTCTACTATGGTCTGAGTGATATCAATGGGGTCAACTAATGATGTATGTGTTGTAGATCTCCCTGTCTTATATTACTCTAACGACTGTCTTGTTTCTCTTCCCTCCTTCTCGTCCGGTGACGGGGAGTAGTATGAGTAAGTGCTTTCTCAGAGGTTATTTAGTCCTATCTGATGTGAATACTGACATATATATATATAGATTACTGTATCGTCGCATTTGGAATTATTGTCCTTGTGTCAGTTGTGCAGTGGATCGTTGATGGACGGAGGAATTTCACGGGGCCTAGGGTTGAGACCTAGACGCTAGGTTCGTTGGTACATATGTAACTTATGTCCTGGATGAAATGGTAGAGTGGTATCTGTCACCTCTCGATGAGGGGGGGTTACCTTGTTCTTGGGTGCGACGTTGCATGATCTTTATGGCTAGGCGACGAATAGACCCCGAACGGCGACAGAAAAGCTGTGTATACTACCGAATCAGAAAAATCTAGGGCTATCTTAACCCAGTGTATTACGAAACTATCATAATGAATGGCCTGAGGGTTGCAGCAGAGTACAAGGCAGAGGGTTACTAAAAAGCCATCGATTCGACAATACCAGCACAGAACAAACCATTACCTCAATCACTCAGACCAAACAAAGCCATCCTAAATAAAAAAAAAAGAAGAAAAGGATTTAATTTAACTCATATGCCAGCATACTACCTAGATCCCAGATCTCACGTTAACTAATAACAAAAAAAAAAGAAAAAAAATTTGAATAGATAAAAAGATAAAAAACCAAAATCATCATCGCTACCATCCAAGCAAAGCACCCAAACTCCACAAATGCAGTACCCTATCCTATCAGAACCAGTCCGAGATCATGATCATTCATTCAGAGAATCAAAGATTACTGAATCTCATAGAGAGCGAACGCGCGCTCGATATCTTGTAGGGTCTCCTTGTCTCCGTATGCATCCATCAATGCTTTGTTTCGGAGGAGGCGTTCTGATTCCTCGGGGTCGTAGGCGGGAGTGGGGGCGTTGTAGTAATTGTAGACGCCGAAGCCTGTGATTGTAACTTGTTAGATGGATCTATCTTTGGAGGTGGTTACTGAGGGTGAAGGAGAGGAGAGGAGAGGGTTACCGAGGGCTATCATTCCCATTGTTGGGAGGTACCTGCATTCAACTATTTGTTAGTATATCCAATGTCTTCCTATGATCAATGAAACAATGATATAAATGAAAAGAACATACCATTTACCAATATTCCCCTTAACAGGAGGAATGTAAACAGGCCGCTTAAAGTGCGGTCGCTGTGGTGCGGACGGGGTGGTGGAAGTATCCATGGGGTAAAACTTGTTCAAGTTGGGAAATGGAAATCTTGGGGAAATTAAGGTTCTGAATGGGGTTGACGAGAACATTGTTCTACTTTTATATCTGGTTAGAAATATGTTGGAGTCGGGGTTGTGGAGAGTCAGTGATGTGATATGATTTCTTAGTGTGGCATGATCGGGTGGAAATCGTATGATTGGAATTAAAAATGATCTTCAACGTCGGTCATGAAACTGATCATCATGACATTATTGATGCAACGATACCCCCGATCTACAGATTCCGCGATTTTACCCGTGTACCGTGTAATAGAAAGAAATCTGGTTTTAGTAAAGAACGTTGAAAGTCCGGTTCGTCGTCATTCCTCCGTCTTAACTTTCGCTCAACTACCGTGGTCTCTACCCGTCTCGCATGTATATGCATCTTTAACCGTTTCGAATGAGACTTTGGCCTGTGGATCTTCGGCGATCATGTATTTTTCTTGTCTCTTGACGACACCCTATCTGCTTGTGGGATTTTGAGCTCGTGTCCCTCCCCTAAACCATGCTCGACAATATTGCCGGGAAGGGGTTATAGTAAAATGACTAGAAGGAGACATGACGGCAACGAACAGAGGTGTATAGTGGTTACAAAAGAGATGCACTGCGGCAGTTCGCTTGATTGGTGATCCTACCATTTTTCACATATTATTTCTCTTCTATGTACTGGGATGACAGCTTCGGCGCTCGGGTGGAGATTCTGTGAGCACCCCACACAACTAGGAAGCCAATAGTTATACACTACTTGATTGATAGAATGTTGATAGATTGATCTTGAAAGATCACATGTCCAGCTACCTGTGGAATTCACTACGTATCGCTATGGGTGCATTGTGTGGAAAGTTCCTATAGAGGCATACTGTATACATAAGACAATCCAGCTTAGTTTCGCAAGGGCACCGGAATAGGTATATGGACAGGATGAAACTTCGCCGACTATACACGGCGATATACTATATCTAACAAGTTGAAAAAATAATAGTATGACTGATATCCCAGGAAACAAACGATTAGGGGCAAAATGAGGTGAATCCCACAAGGCTGAGAGCTCGTATGCAGGTCGATACCCGATGGTGGTGGGTTTAGGCTCAGCCGCGACGCTTATGGAGGTTCAAACATCAAATTGCCCATCAGCACTCGAGAACCGTACCTGTTTCCCAGATATATCCCATCAAAATCTTTCACTGTACCCATGGCTTCTGAGACGAATAAAACCACACCCTTTAGTCTACCCCCCATATCATTATTCTCCGCTACCGGAAGACTATATCCGCCTACTCCGACTGATGCCACATCAGGATAAACATGCCCCAACACAGTGTCAGATACCTGACTATCCGCTTCACGAATCAGTCGTAGGGACCCATCGGTACGAAGCTTTGTCGTATGTATGGGGCTCTCTAGAAAAGCCTCACTCTATTATCCTAGATAACGGCTGCTTATCCGTCACAACAAATCTCTACGCGGCGTTATTACACCTTCGAGATCGCTTTATCGAACGCGTTATATAGATAGATGCTATATGCATCAATCAGAATGATTTACGCGAGCGGAGTAGTCAGGTCCAGGTTATGGCCGAGATATTTGCCAAAGCGAGCTGTGTAGTAGTTTGGCTTGAGGAGGAGGAGGAGGAGGAGGAGGAGGCTACTGGCATCCATGATGACAAGACCTCTGATGAGGGCGGTAGAGCCCTGGAGGTAATACGGAAGGCTGCAGAAGCCTACTATAGTACAAGTATGGACGAGAATAAAGCGGTTCTCTCGCTACTTGGACGGTCGTGGTTTCAGCGTGTCTGGGTAAGATAGTAAGCAGTTTAAGATATTGGAAGTCGTACTGACGGCCTCAGGTACTTCAAGAGATCGCTGCAGCGCGACACATTTTGATAGCATGTCATTCCGCCGAAATTGACGGACATGCCTTCTCTTCTGGTTTAACGGCACTGAAAGACATCATCGCCGATAAGGACATGCGAGATCAGATCGGCATGACCGTATTTCTAATAATGAATGCGACTTTGCGACCTAAGCGCGTGATTGCTCGTTCTGACAAAATCTCCCTTCGCATATGCCCTTTAGAAGACTTGACAACCATGTATAACAGCCGTGAAGCTACTGATCACCGGGACAAGGTTTATGCTCTGCTAGGCATGAGCTCCGATAATTATGGCCCGGCGGCCATATTGCCCGACTATACCGTGCCGTGGAAAGACGTCCTCTGTCGACTCATCCGGCTTTATATTGGTGGGCAGGCATGTGTACAGACATGGGATGATGAAGATGTTGCAATGATCAGGGGTAAAGGCTGTGTTCTTGGCGTGGTGAGAAGGGTGGCGATGAACCCACCACCATGGAAAGATGACGATACTTGGAATAATTGCCGAGATGCATTTGTAACTATACAAATGACAGGTGAAGTTGAGAGAGGAATGGGGCGTGTATGGAAATTTTGTAAATGGCCAGGGTTGATTAAAAGGGGTAATATTGTCTGTCTTTTACAAGGAGCGTCTAAGCCTACCCTCATAAGGCCATGTGGTGATTACTGTGCTGTTGTCACAGTTGGATTCGTTCCTCTCAACGCAACTTACTCAGTGCCTTGGCCACAATCATATGTTTGGGGGAAGCTTGATGAGTGGAATGACCTTCTGCAGTCTGTATCCGTATATCCACGGGACTTTCTGCTTGTCTGGAACTGGCAAAAGGCTTGGAGAAGTCTCGAGGATAGAGAGGACAGGAGATGGCTTATGGATAGCCAATTACCAGAACAAGCAAAGAGAGTGTTAGAAGCTGAATTGCCCAAGTTGCATCGATTGCGAAATCTTGAGCCAACCTTGGTTGATTCGGAGAACTTTGAGCAGGCGTTGGAAAACTTTCCACAGGCGCTGGCCCTCCATGGTCCGGAAGCTGAAGAGGCCTACTTACCCACATTCACAGCGATAATGAACATTACCATGTCATGCAGAACTCCACGCCTGTCCAAGACGGGGGAAGAACTGAAGAGCATGATGGATATAATCCAACGAAGAGGAGACTTCGTTGTGATTACGGAAGAAACCATGACTCGAATTGCAAGGTCACCAAATGATGGTGTATGGCTGATGAGATTTCTTCTTACTCAAAGAGGGGACGAGGTCCCGATAACCGAAAAGATGCTTGAAGAAGCAGCCTCAAATCGGAGCTGCGGTGATGAGCTTATAACTGTCATGCTTGACCGAAAAGGACCAGAAATCCCGCTTACCGACAGGATACTTCTTGCAGCGGCCGAAAATACAACCCGCGCGCTATACATTACGAAAGCAATACTCGACCGACGAAGGGACGAGGTCCATTTCAATGGTAGCATACTTACGGTGGCAAAAACAAAATGAAAGGAAGCTTGGCAAGATTACCTACACGTGGAATGAGAAGAGTTCCTTCAAGAATAAGTTTATATGTATCTAGATATACTCGAGAAATTTCGGGCATCATCGTATAGGCCAAAGCCTTTCATTCCAGTTGCTCCTCGAGAATACTCCGCACTCACTCCAAGTGCAAACTAAGTTTTGATCGCTCCTCAAAGCCCTCGTTGAAGCTGTATACTATCCGTATCTGCTCTCGAAACATGTAAAGGAAAATCAAACTCATGCTACGTCCACCCCCCCAGCTTCATATGATGAACAGTGACAGCACCACACCTGTGATGTACGTGCTTCTCTAAGCTACTCACTAATGCGTCACAGGTGATCGGATTGGCGGCAAACTTGGGGCTCTAGACTAACTCGCGCAAGGTGCGTGTAAGATGTCCACTCAGCTGGAGAGTCTTCGGATAATCATAGTATGCTGTCTTATAGAAGTTGTTCAATACAGGCGTAATAGTAATGGAGAATAGGGCTGTGGCCTAGCTGGTCTTTAAAGGTCATCTACGCCCTACGAAGCCGCAGGGAAGCCTACATTGGTATTAATCAAGGACAAGAATTAAGTCCTGGTCATGGCCTTGTTGTTCGTTTATGTTACACTGCCCAGGTGTGGGTTGCCTGCAATTGGGGGTCGGTCCAAGAGGACTGAAAGCAGACACGTTGGTATCTGGAGTAATCCCCGTGCAAGTGGGATGTGGGCAAAGCGATTGATCGACATCCATGATTCGTGGGTCTGTTTAGACGATAAGGGGCGTGATTAAGATCCTAGTACCGCATTTGGGTATGTTGACTCTTAGAGATTTAAGACTGCTTGCGAACTGAATGATATCCGAGAGAACTCTTGAGTGACAACTTTTGTCAAGAGAAGCACGCGTCCTTCATAACCATCTGATTGGCCACATATGTAGGCTTTTGCTAAATACCTAAGGTCTACAAGACAAACGGCTATCAGTTCAGCAGATTGATAAAATGCAAGGGTTGATCTATGAGAATGCCCAAGCCAGGGAGATATGTGTAAGCGATCTTAAGAATGCCTAGCGGAATGTGGCGGAACCATCCAGTCTACTTTGCATGATGCGCGGATAGAACCGGACCTAGAGAGAAATCAATGCATGCCCTAGGGCTTCGTCGCGTATATGAGCGATAAGCGAACTGCCAATCTAGTGACTGACTCTGTGACGACTCTTGAGATCAAGAATTATCTCAACACCAGCTAAGAAATGAGACCTACGTTGCAGAAATTGACAAGGCGGCTACAATTTGAGGGTTCTGTGAAAGCCAGCCTGGACTATATAGAAACTTAGTACTAGGCATTATGGGACTTCAGGTCACTAATAATTCCGGTAATAGCAAAAAAGCGATATTCTTCGGTGCATTTGTAGCGGTTATGTGACAGCTGGCCAGTTATTCGGTAATGGCCATATTTGCAAAATCAGTAATCTCAATGCCATTCGAGACTCGACTAAATTAGGTATTCAATTTAACCATATCTCTGGACAAGGTCCTTCATATCGTTGAGCATTCTAGCAGCTTTTGTTAGTGCAAAATACACCCGCTAGAATTGAAATGGACCTTACTGCTTTCTGAGTGCTTGATTATCTTTAAAGAGGGCAGAAACATGGGTATTAAATCTCCTACCACAGTGTCAACACTCAAGGACAATTAGTTTCGGGTGGTCGCATGCTCACAGCTTGTAAAGATCTAGGCGACCATCATAATCTTCTTCAGGTGCCGATTTCTGTACGTAGGAGTGATATGCTGCCAAATATTCGTCTCCAAATCGGTTGCAAATAGGCCGCCACTGGCCAAACTCATCTACATAAAACCCGACATGTCAGCTTAAGCATTATAGATTTGACGGTTAAGTCATATAACATACATTCATTATGTGCGTAGAAAGAGCAGGCGTCAAACACGAGAGACTCGCCAGTGTTCACGTCAATTCCAGCGTTTCCATACCAGAGATCTCCGTGGACGAGTGAGGGCTTTATAGACCGGCCATCAGATTCAAGCGGGCGTAATAGACGCGGTATAACCTTGTCAAAAAGGATGGGGACTAAGTGATCTAGTTCTGGGTCTGGCCCCTTCGCCTTCATTTCCAGATCAAGGGCCATCTTCATATTTTTCGCGAAGAAAACCTCCCAGCTATCTTCCCACTCATTAATTTGCGGTAAATTACCGCTGTATGTAGCCATGTGGAAGCCAAATTTCCCCGTCGGTGATGTACTGCTCTGATGGAGAGCCGCGAGGCGTGCAGCAAATTTATGCGGGTCTGGCATCTCATGTGTCATTCCTCGATACTGACATAGAAAGAAATGAATGTCTGGTGTGTCCTTGTATGTCCCCCAGGCTATCGGCCTCGGTGCGAAATCTGGAAGCAGGGTATATATGGCCTTCATTGATTCGAACTCCCCACGTACCATGTTTTTGCCTCGTTCTTCAGACACAGTCTTAATAAAGACTGATGATGATGTTCCATCGTCTAATTTGACATTTATGCGACCAGTGTAGCCCCAGAAGCTGTTCTTATGGCTCTCGGAAGATACAACATGGCATCCTTTTGGTAAATCTTATTAACCGTCAGTATTTTGTATATCTGGCGACTATTACTGAAACTCACGGGCCACGACGTTCGGATCGACTGTGGTCTCCCAATCATGATTCGAAACATCATCACTGGTATTTCCCATGACTTAGGTGTTGGTCTTGTGCTTAATTTGAAGCTTAGGTCCCATATAAGGGAAGTTCCGCAATTTCCTTGATACACAGACCAAGTAATGTGTCAAACATGGGAGATTTCAATGCCGGTGTTATGCGTGGGACAGATGCCGACTGTACAGTGTATTAAGAAAGAAGAAATTGCTACGGATCAACAGAAAGCGGAGCGGACGGCGCCGGTTCTTGTACTCTAGCACAGTGGAGCAACGTACAAAGACGTTGCGAATCTTGTAAGCGCCGTCTGGTGGGTATCCCTAATTCCTGTGCCCCGCAGTAGCGACTTCAAAGATACGATGTTCCATCCCCTCCACAAATTTAACCTGAATACATCCATCCTCCAACACACTTCTCCCAATGTTCTTAGTGATAAACACCCCTGGTTCCTTGATTCCCACATACACGACTCTGATTCGGCTCGCAAGTGGCAGAATCCTTTCCGTGCAAGTTCTATTGCCACTCAGCCTCTTGCTGCATGGCTCCATGGTAGTATAAAGCATTGTCTTTTCTGGCAACACTGTATCCAACCCCTCTTCTGTCACGTTGTATCTTTCAGCTACTTTGATCAGGCAACATTGCTCCGCATGTGTGTTTCCAGGATCTCCGGGTCTGTCTCCTGGCAGTTCCATTGAATAGCCAGTTGATAAAATTTCGTTTCGATCAGTATCAACTAGCACTGCGCCCACGCAAAACTTCGTAGGTGCCGGAGGGGACAGACGGGCTTTTTCAAGGGCGTATTCCATATACCCTCTGTGGTCTCCGGCTGCGATGCTTGGGTGACAGGATGAGGATGTCATTGTCTTGTCAAGGGTAGGAAAGTGAAGTATTCTCGAAAGTACTAGGCATGTTCAGATAATTTTCAACGGAATTATGTCGATCTCGTCAAGGAGAATCACCCTAGTCAGGGGGGATGTGTTACCTTAGGCTTGGGACTGTCACGGGACCGTGGGGATGCCCTAGGATATATACTAGGATATATACCCCCAGTCAATTACGTTCCCGCAGTCCCTAACAATATGCTTTTCTTCTTCTTTCTCTTTCCCACCCAGATGAAAGTACTATATCTGCGCTGTCAAGTGTGTCTACTTCTGTTAGCGGCTTTGTCTCGCTCAAGAATCCTTGTCATTAACTCAAGGGGAGGTGATACTTGGGTTCTAACAAGAATCACTGCATCAAAGCCTCGTCTTTGGTGAATAGACATAAACCACTGATCATCCCGAGATTTAGATTACTCAAAGAGAAGTTAATTCTCACTGATCAGATTTCCTGAGAAGGGATATTCGCTCAGTTTAACTTCCATTGCACAAGGTCTGCCTGATCCGATTAAAGATAAAATTGTCCTACGTCGCTACTAGAGAAAAGGTTGCATTTGGCCCTAGTTCTTAACATTTCTGTAGAGCAGTATGATAGAAAGTGGCCACATTATGTTTCTATACATTCTCTCATATTCCTCCTACCCTCAGGTTCATAGACGCATCTTGGCCCTATCTCAGCACTATCACTGCTTGAGAGATGCGCGAGGAACCTTATAAGAGAAGAACTCGGGAAGCTCTAGATGATACGAGCTAGACCGAACAAATATTGCCCGTGAAATATATATTGGAGAATCACGTCTCACCTTAATATGTCTAATGTTTAATTAGTCTCACATTGGTTGAAGACAGTGTTACAGTATATATTGATAGAGTTTTGATTAATTACCTCTGACCAATAATCACATAAAAAAAGTACAGTTCGGTCCGTCTGTGGAGACCTTTTAACCTCCGCTAGAGAAAACGGAGAAGAAACCAAAACACCAGTTTGATCATGTTTCACTGGCTTATCGCTCACGTGGGGTTGTTCGCCCTCATATCCCCAGATGCCGATTAAGGGACGTGCGAGGAGAGGCAAACATTTCAATCTCAGCCCAGAATTATTTGTTTCAGATACGGATATATTTTCGTTCCAATCGTTCAGCAGTTCTTTTCAGATCTCAGACACGTGCATGAGGGGCACCGTCAAAAGCCAAGAGACACCGGTCGTATTAACCCCTGCCGATAATAAAAAGGATCCTATGGGAAGATACGAAGAACAGCCATCGACATCACTCCACAGGAGACCATCCCCGGCCACGGTTGCACTGTCCAATGGTGAAATCCCATCGTCTTATTTGCCAATTGAACCATGGACTCGACGAGCGCGACCCTCCTTTAGATTACAAGGAACCTCGAGGAACCAAACCTTGATTCTAGTCCCACTAAAGAGACTATCTTATTTACCTTTCGTTTATTCGCTGTTTCTCCACTTATCATTATTTCTTGCTTCGATCACACCCTCAATAGCTGGAACATATCACTGTGCTTGTTGACAGTGATTTTGTGATATTATCGACTTAGAACCTCTTATTGACTGCATTTGGGACAGCTAGTTTTTCTTTCTCTCGGTTAATATCTAGTGTTTCTCTCATATTATTGTTTATTTCGCCCAGCTGTCGCGTGCCCAAAATACTCAATCGCCCCTTGATTGCTCTAAGCAGTAAATTGCATTAATTCTGTACAACCAACGACCAGCTCTCGATCACCAGTCGATCGCAACCAACTGAACCCCTTGCGCCACTCCCCAATGCAACCGTACTTTTGCTTATCGTAACAACCATGTTCTTAAAAACGCTATTTTCTCCTCGCCCCGGCAATTACGAATTGCTTCGGCCCGTGCACCACAGCCCTACGGAATTCGCCATGCGAACGTCAAAAACAGACAAGGTCGTCACCACGGCCGCCGATGGAGATGTCGCAACAGGCAATTCCGACGCGGACGCGAGAAGGCTGGCAGAGATGGGGTACACACAGGATATGCAGCGGAACTTCTCCGTGATATCGTTACTGGGTGTGGCCTTCTCGCTGGCTAACTCGTGGTTCGGTATCTCCGCCTCGCTAATCACCGGTATCAACTCAGGAGGAACAGTATTGACCATCTACGGAATCCCCTGGATCACCTTCGTCTCGACCTGCGTCGGCGTCACGCTGTCGGAGCTGGCCTCCGCCATGCCCAATGCCGGCGGACAATACTTTTGGGCCAGCGAGCTCTCCCCAAAAAAATATGCCGCATTCGCCTCGTATCTAACAGGATGGCTCGCCTGGGCCGGCGCCATGTTCACCTGCGCCAGTGTAGCCTTAAGCTTGGGCTCAGCCGGCGTCGGCATGTGGCAGCTATCTCATCCAGACTTGTACGTTCTCACACTAAAACCCCAAACACTCCGAAATAACCTCATCTAACCAAAACCACAGCATCCCCAAACCCTGGCACTCAGTAGTAGCTTACGAAGTAATCAACCTATTCGCCTTCCTCTTCAACTGCATCGGCAAAGCCCTCCCCACAGTAGCCACAGCCACCCTCTACATCTCCCTCATCTCCTTCGCCGTCATCCTCATCACCGTCCCCGCCGCAGCACCCTCCCACGCCAACGCCAAATTCGTCTTCGCAAACTTCGTCAACTCAACCGGCTGGCCCTCCGACGGCCTCGCTTTCCTCGTCGGCCTCATCAACCCAAACTGGGTCTTCGCATGCCTCGACTCAGCCACCCACCTCGCCGAAGAAGTCTCCCGTCCTGAACGCTCCATCCCCATCGCTATCCTCTCCACCGTCGCCATCGGCTTCACCACCTCCTGGTTCTACTGCATAGCCATGTTCTTCAGCGTCACTGACCTACACCAAATCATAACCACCCCAACCGGCGTCCCCATCCTCGCCCTCTTCTACCAAGCCCTACAAAGCAAACCAGGTGCCATAGCCCTCGAATCCCTCATCCTGATCACAGGAATAGGCTGTCAAATAGCATGTCATACATGGCAATCCCGTCTCTGCTGGTCCTTTGCTCGTGATCACGGTCTTCCTTTCTCCACTTTCCTATCGAAAATTCACCCTACCCTAGACGTCCCCTTCAACGCCCACAGCGCCAGCTGCTTCATCGTAGGACTCCTGGGTCTATTATATCTCGGGTCCTCAACCGCATTCAATAGCATGGTCACGGCGTGTATAGTATTGCTTTATACAAGCTATGTGGTTCCTGTTATTGCCCTGCTGTACAAGGGTAGGGGGAATATTACCCATGGACCTTTTTGGTTGGGGAAGGTCGGGTGGTTTTGTAATTGGGTTGTTCTGGGTTGGACGGGCTTTTGTTTGGTCGTTTATTCGTTTCCGAGTGTTTATCCTGTTACGACTGGGAGTAAGTTTCTTTTCTTTTCTTTCTATTTTTTTTTTTTTTTTTTTT